TGCCATTTCTCACAAACCCAAAGTTGGCCTTGCTTGGTCAGACACTAGTACATGGCATCTTGCGGAGTTCATGAATATATGCAGATAAGCAGCATTTCTTTCAAACTTAGGCTACAGACCCAGAGCTCTCAGCTACAAGGGATCAGGGGTTTTTTTTAAGTTACCGAACAGTATTGTACATGCACCTGAAGCAGCTTTGGGCTGGATTCTGACTCCATTTGCACTTGTGGTATATATCCAAAAGCCTGTCGGGGTTTTTTGGTATAAATGAACTCGGAATCTATCCTTTCATTATTTTCAGTTATAACTATACATATATAGGTATAAATTATTCAGTTTTCTCTTCCCCTACCCCTTGTGTTCTCCTCCCAATTCAGGGCCTGACACTGCCAGGACCCAAACACTCACCACCCACATTGAAATCAGCATGTGTCCAGGGTGCTCAGCACTTGGTAAGATCAGGCCTTTAGTCACCCATCAAATGGCTGCCACTGTGCTAGCTTACAGGGCTGTGACCATCACTACTGCTGCCTCTTAGACTGACCTACCTAGACATGCCCAGTTCTGGAAATATACCCCACTACCATCCCATATCAGAGGCTTCTCTCTTCTACACTTGACATATACAGATGGCCAGTGGCCCTGAACTCAGAAATATTAGGAGCCATACACATGACTATGGCTACCAATCTGGTAACCGTATGGAGAACCTTCATGCCTTATTTATTTATAATGGAAAGCAGTTGTCTATTTAAACAACAAAAAAAAGTCAAGTAGATTTTCTCAGAGCGTTCATCAGTGTTATTACTGCCACACTACCTGGTACATTGATTACTATTGTTCTTTTACTGAAACATTTATAGCAGGGGGCTTGTGAACCTATGTTCTGCTTATTGCATCAGAGGGGAGGGGGGAGAAATCACCACCACTTCCTGTTTCAAATATTGTTACGTAGGAACCAACATCGCAGTTCTAAGTGTACATCAGATAAATATATTTAAAAATGCTTTATTCTCTTCTTAAATAAAAAACCCCACCAATATTCTGAAAGCTGAACCTTTCTTTGTGGCTGCTTTTAATTCCAAGTATAGCCAGTACAGTTGTTGTTCAGAATGTCTAATACTGATTTAGGTCAAGAAAATGCTGTAGGCTCCTTGGTTGAAAGTGGAAGAGTTGTGCTGGAATGACTACATCCCTGTGTTTAGTTATGTAACGCACAGATTATGTATTTGAATGACTAGCACCAACCACATGACAAAAAACATGCACCCCCTTATGAGTTTGGAAATGTCCATTAAATTGTGAAAATGCTAAGCTTCCAACTCAAAGGTAAGGGATTGCTACTTTAAAAACAGACTCCAAAAAAATTATTCATGCAAGTGACAACATATTAACACTTGGCTTAACAAAAGAGCAGCTGCCGTACATCAGCAGCTTGTTCTATAAAGTGCTGAGAGCATCTTTTCTCTGTCCAAAAATATTACTGGCCATACGTAAGTCTCTGCATGCGACTCTCAGCTACTTGATTTTACTTTAAAAAGAGGATTACAGCAAACTGCATTCCCACAAAGAGCTAATATAAAAAGACGGGGGATACACAAACAAGTGACCATGAGATAAACTCCAGTGTGAACTTACAACATATTACCTATTTTGTGGCAACTGACTGTCTGCATGTTCTTATTTGCCAGCAAATGTGAGGCATCTCACTTACTGTAGCATAGAGAAAATCCACACTCTGCCTGGCTTCACATTAACTTGATTGGGTCTAGAGGGGGGAAAGGGGGCATGTCCTACATATCCTTTGCACTTTTATAGCACACCATAGCTAAGGCTCTCAAAGTGCTTTGCTAATAACAACTTAAGTCTCACACCAATACCAGGAGGTAGGTAGAAACTAAAAATGACTGCTTTGCACGCTGCGGAAATGTAGCCACCTGTCCAATGGAAGGTGGCGTATTTTAACAGGTCACTATGAAGTAGTTTAGGACAAGAAGTGAAGAACACTACTGAAACCAATGAAAACTGCAAGGGCTTTGATTCCCTGTATCAGATTTTGGCCAGAAAAATCCACATTTATTGATGAAACTACTCGAGGATCACTAAGGAGCACAAGCGATCAAGAACTGTTTTATGCCGCATCTGAAACCGCAGCACAGTTGTGGAACACTCGCTTAATATCAGTTCATGCCCTGAATCAGAAGTGCGTCCATAATTAGGAACAGGAATGAAGCGAAGAATGAGCAGACATTTCAGAGAGAAGAATGCCTTCTCCCATGTCACCAGCATCACTTCCTCCGCTACCTGCAACTTTTCCAGCAGTTCTCCATCCAAGTACTCTCCCAGCCCAATCCTCGCACACACACACACACACACACACACACACACACACACAGAGCAAGGATCGTGAACTGAGTAGTTGGTCTAATAAAGTTAGACCTTTTTATCCAACTACTCAGTTGATATAATAAAAGATATCACATCTACTCAGTGACCCTTGCCTGCCTATTTCCTTAGACCAGGGGCGGATAATTATTTTGGGCGGAAGGCCGCTTACTGAGTTTTGGCAGGCCATCGAGGGCCGCATGACAGGCAGCCAGGGGCAGATAATTATTAATTTTCTACATTTTTAGGGGCCCCGCGGGCTGAATACAATGGCCTGGCAGGCCACATTTTGCCCACCCTTGCCTTAGACCAACACAGCTACAACCAAAAACCTGGCTTTTTAAACAAACCTTAGAAACTGATGCTTTTGTAGCAGGCTTGCCTTTTGGAGCTTGGGTTGAGTCCCAGGCTTGAAATCTTACTGTTTTGATTGGTGGAGCCCATCCACCAATCAGGAGGCAGCAAGGAGAGTTAAGTCACACTCCTTTCCTGAGGGGTGGGGGAGAGGATTGCCACCCCCCACCTGGACCTGATTGAAGACTGCAACACTCATGTCGGGAAGACTTCGGGGCAGAGCCCAGGAGAGTATAAAAGGAGCTTCGTGCCCAGCATGAGGGGACAGAGAAGAGAGGGGCTTAGAAGAGCTGAGGAGAGCTGCTCAGCAGGGTGGAGCGGTAGCCCAGAAGTGCCCCTGAAGACTTCCATCAGTGGGGAATGACAGACGACTCCAGGTGTGCAGCACGGCACACGGTGTCCAGACCCTGGGAGCTGCGTGAGGGGGCTCAGGTCTGCAACCTCTGGCGTGCAGCCAGAGACACGGTGCACAGGCCAGTGCACGGAGTAGGACCTTTGGAGTGCTTGGGTGGCTCAGGTCCTCAGCCCCTGGAACGAGGCTGGGAGCTCAGTGCAGGAGGCATGGCACGGAGGGTCCGGGAGCGGACTGAGCCTGGTGCTGCACGAGGCAGCCTAGACCTCCGACCCATAGCAAAAGGTTGAGTCCAGGGAGCCAGACAATGCTCGGGCTACTGAGCCAGCCGACAGGGCCAAGCCAGAGGCCACAGAAGCCCTGCAAAGAGGAGCCCTGCTCCAGGGGACAGCGACCCCCCACCGAAGCCCACTGCAGGCAATAGAGCAGCTTGGCGCAGAGGACAAGGACCACCCTCCAGGCCTGGGAGCCGTGAGTTGCAGGGAAAAGAGGATTCCCACAGGGGAATGGGAGTCCCCCCTGGTTAAGGGCTCCTGAAAGTGGAAGCCCCACTGGGAGGGCCCCCCTAAAGCTACCTGGGCTATACTTTTCATTTTCTATGGCATCTTTACACTTTAAAATTCTGGGTCTGCTTGACTTGCATCACATTGTTATCCCCTGAAACAGATCTGCACGTGTCTCATCTATGCCTGCTCCCTAAACAAGAGGAGAGAAAGGGCTGTTTTGAATCCAACTCTGCTTCGCACAAGAGACTTGTGGTAGGAGCCTCAGCAATGGTCAGAAACTCCTAGAAGGTTTCAGACTGGATATAAGGAAAAACTTCTTCACAGTTCATGTAACCAGACTCTGGAACAGACTCCCAGCAGGTACCTACCCTGGAGATCTTCAAAAGGAGGCTGGACTCACACCTCCTGGGGTTATCTGACCCCAGCAGTCTTTCCTGCACAGAGCAAGGGGGCTGGACCTGATGATCTCACAAGGTCCCTTCCAGCCCTAAACTTCTGTGAATGTGTGACACAAGGTGAAGCAGGAGGGTGGAGAGAAAAAGACATAAAAGTTTTGGTTCAATCATGTCACCACAGTCACCTTCATGCTTGTCATTATTCACCCCAGCCAGCTGCAGGAAGAGGCCTTCTTGGCATATGGAGCCAGTGAAACAATAGTGCTGACATAGTTTAACAACAGTTAGTAAAACAAGTCACCCTGCTTCAGCTATTTCCTCTCCACCCCCATGGCTCCCAATCACAAATATTTAGTTGCTCATTGCTTGAGATGAAGGTTGCCAGATGGCAGGACTCCTCTCTGAGGAGTCTGTTTCCTTCTTAAAGCATTTAGTTATCTGCTTCATTTGGAGGGGGGCAGGAAAGCGGAATCCCCCCAGGAGCACTGCAACAATACAATATGGATTAAATTAAAACAAAAAGTGGTGCCCTCCGCGGCCCATCATGACTACTTAGCGTCAGCCGCAATGGGTTGTTTGACAAGAACATAAGGCACTTAACTCCTTTCCCAAGGGGCTGGGTATGCTGTCTCCACAGTGATTACCAGGGAGAGACCCCAAACCTCCAACCTTTCTTGCACACGTCTCTGCTTGCATAACAGCCTCCCTGCTCACTTTGAACCATCCATTTTTTATTTCATCCTGCTATTTAAAATCAAGAGTTCTTCTAATTGGTATGGACTATGGGAGGTTTTGCCTTCCTCTGGAGGGGGAGGCATGGCCCTCCACCTGGGATTTCCTGAGTGTACATTAACAACCTTTCATAGAAGCAGGACATTGGCTGCTTTACCTGTGGCAGGTTAGGGCAGGGGTGGGCAAAATGCGGCCCGCCAGGCCATTCTATTCAGCCTGCGGGGCCCCTAAAAAATTTGGAAAATTAATAGTTATCTGCCCTGGGCTGCCTGTCATGCAGCCCTCGATGGCTTGCCAAAACTCAGTAAGCAGCCCTCCATCTGAAATAATTGACTGCCCCTGGGTTAGGGTGTTCTGTCTTGCGTTGTGTAAGGGGTGACGGGAGTTTTCTGAAGACCATGGATTGTGTGTTTGTATAGGATGGTTTGGATAGGGATGATCCTGCCTGAGGCAAGGGGTTGGACTAGATGACCTCTGGGGATCCCTTCCAGCCCTACTGCTCTATGATGCTAATTGCCCCGGCTCTCACGTGCGCTCCTGCCAAACCCTCAGAGCACCTGGAAATCCTCTACCAGCCCCACTCATTTCCCTGATGCTGGAAGCACTAGTGACGTGACTCTTACTACCTTAAAACAAGGAGGCAACATACTCAAAACAGGGAACCAGCTTCAGCGGAGACTGAACATTCAGCATCATGCACAAGGCTGCTAACAACTTCCAGTATCATGCCTGAAACCCTTTGCATTGTCTCAGCTCTAAAGGAAGATGAAACCCTTCCCCCCCCCTTGAAAATATTTGGATTGTTATAGTTAATAAAAGGGGAAGCTGGGTGGGAACAATTATTGTGGTACATATACACACATGC